AAAATGTTACCATACACTTAGGGGACAAGATACAAGGCGAACCCCGTGAAAAATTAGGCTCCTTTTTGGTTGCCATCTTTCTTCTATGAAAGCTGGCATTTTCTAGGGAAAAGGGGGACTTGAGAGATTGTCTAATAATCCTCAAGAAGCACAGCTGGCAGGAGTTGAAATACAAACTTGCTTCTTATCTCTATGATAAGGAATTGAGGAAAGTGGGGGTCAGAATTTGACATATTACATTTGTAGATCTTAGAGCTGTGAGGCGTGAATGAGATAAATGTGGAACACTGGTGGGCTATTAAAATGTTATACAAATGTAAGGAGTTTTAGGGAGGACTTCCCAGCACTGCTTCCCTGCAATGCAAGGCTACAACTGAAAACTGAAATGTAGCACCCAGTATCCCTCATCTACCACCATGCAGCACCCCCAGATGAATCAGTCTGCCACAAATGCTTGTAGTGCATATCCCTGAGTGTTATTCCCAGAAAACTGAACCTATGGAAACTTTTATAATTGAGTTGTTGACCTTCACAAGTTTTTCAAAGGAGAAAGGCCAGTGAGTCACAATTATGCTACAACTCCAGACCATCTGAATTTCTTCAAAGATGATGGCTTAAGAAGTGTTTAATTCTTGGCTCTCTCTGATAAACTAAAATAAAAAAATCTACATTTTTTAGCCCTGATTTATCTCATTTATCTTCAAGTTATATTGGCTTCTGGATATATCATTTAGATAATCCACCATCACTCCAAATGTTCCATGTCCAAAAGCCCCAGTCACTCAAGGCGAACCATCCTTACATAACATTTGCCAAACAGTCTCCCTTCCAAATCACCCATTTTGGTTCATTGAACCGTGATTCTTCCAAATAAGAAAACTTGAGAATACCATAAATGGAAAGAGACCTTAGATATTTATTAGTCTTATCTCTGTGCTTTACAGATGAGAGGATATATAACTTGCCCAGTGCTGCTGTTAGGACTAGAATTCCTGGCTCCTATCTAAGCTAAACAAACAACAACAACAAAAGGAAAACTCAAGATATCCTGAATTAGAAATCCAGTTCTAATATTCTTTACACTCAAGTTCTTTATCTGAATAATGTATATAATAGATCTACAGGATGCAATTAAGTGAGATAATGTATGTGAAAACATTTACCACAGTGCAAGGGACATAGTAGACACTCAATAAATGAGGACATAGTAGACACTCAAAGCATAAATATTTGTTGAATTGATCACTACCGAAATCGACCATTTCTAATAGCGTCAGTTCTCGCTTACTTTTCCTTCTGACTCATCTCTTCCCATTCTCTCTATCCTAAGGCCCCAACTGACCTGAAAATGCAAGTTATAACTGATCTCACAGCCTCATTTTCTGGTTTTGGGCATGCTGGCCCTCAGCCATATGGTCAAGTTATCCCAACTCTCCTCTTCCTGGAAGTCTACTCTGGTAAATTCAGGTCCACTTTCTTCTGAGAGCCAAAATTAATTACATCTTCTCTTGTATCATTGTTCTTTAATTGTTTCACTCACAAATGTGGAAATTCTGCTTCTCTTAACAGATTATAATTTGTTGATTAGTTTTAATATGTGTGCTTGCTAGCCCTTCCACAGTATCTAAAATATATTGTGGTAAAGTAAAAAATGTAAAGAAATCTGAATAATCTCAACTCTTATAAAAACCAATTATAGAAGATTTTTCCTACAATGTGGATTCACCTGCGTAATCACTTTCTCTGAAGCAACATCCTGAATATGGAGAAGATTAGCAATTGAATAATATTTGTATATAGGGTAAAACAACGTTATTTCTGTAAAATAATCTATCACACACATCTACCACATGGGACATATCAAAGGCAAATTTCACTTGTCAAAATATATTAGTGATTCCTCAGTTTTAAAAAATCAGAACTACATTGTGAAATATCTTCTTGAATTGAAGCATCTCTGTTTATATTTGTGGATACTGAATGGGGAATTTGCTGATTCAAGATTAAAGGCAAAAACTTCTAAGGTTGCTTTTATCTAGTTCCAAGGCCGATGATGAGAAACTATTTGTTCCTCACACCTCACTTTCCATGATGTTGATAGTTAGCTTTATATTTACTATTTTTAGATAGCTACAATATAAGCCACATTCTACCTGTTTGGTAGTACCAGGTTATAAAACTACAAAATGTTATCATGACTTCCTTTAAATAAAACCCTAAGGTTATGTCTGCTTCTGACAATTTAGCTATCATGTCAAATAACTGGACTCTGGTGAGCATGGCTCATAAAAAGTAAAATAATAAGTTGAACATTATTTCCGAGTCAACTGGCTGATTCCAACAGAATGACAAAAACAGTGACTATGAACTGTAGTTGTCTATCATGGTGACATTGTTTCCCACTATAGTCTCATTTAATTTCACATAGTGTATTTTGCAAAGTTTCTGGGAAAAAGAAAAAGAAAAAAGCTTCTGTTTACACCATACCTAAGCCTCTGTTAAAGTATTTATGCAGTGGTAACTTGTAGCAGTTGGGATGTTTTCTTATTAAGGTATCTCTGCTCTAAGTTTTCCAGCAGTAACAATTGAATATTTTTATAGTCATGATAGTCAAGATAAGACATACTCTGCGCCCTTTCAAGTAAGGGGTTTGGAAAATTGGATTACTATACTATACCCAACTCAACAAAAGCTAATAGGAAACTTATATTTTACCCATAGTTAGAAAAAAAAATTTAAATCTCATTTTAACACTAATAGGATGAAATTTTAACTTACTAAATTCTACTGTTTTCATTTTTATAATTCCCTAACCTATTAAGAAAGCAGTTTTGCCACTTTCTTTTCCTTGAAATAACTCCAAATTTGTACTGTACAGATCTTCCTGAAGACATTTGGAGATTTAATTTCAACGGTGCACAAAACAGAAGACGGAACCATTTCTTTAAAAAGTATCTATTTTGAAACCATGAATTTCTCCTCTTTGATGTGATTGCATGTTGAATTTAAGTTTAATATTTTTATGATAATTGAATTAATGGTGTCTGATAAAATGCAACAAATCAATAAATATTATCTGAATGAAGATATTAATTGAAATTAAGTAAGACTAGTTTCAAATATAGTCTTTCTTAAGAGAGTGAGTTTTGTCATATTAAGATGAAATTTTCAAGATTGATCTATATTCTTTCTGAGGCCAGCATACTCAAGGTTTAGAATTAAAGTTTCTAAATAAAAACACTACACAGTTCCTCTTTGACTTAAAAACAAAACAAACAAAAAATTTTAAGTATGATTAACCGTATGGGTAAGCATTTTATTCATATGATTTAACTGCATTTTTTTCTCGTATGTAAATCATGTGACACAGCAAACTCAAAGTCGTGGGACACAAACGACAGTTGTGAAAAATTCAGATACTCTGCCTTTAAAGTTATGTTAATTACCACACATTAGAAAAGTGTTTATTATTTAGAAGTCTTTTTTTCCTCTCCTGTTTGACCACTTACACACCCCATTCCGCAACCACAGAAGCAAACACTGTATGTCTAAAATTGGTGCTGGTTTTGATAAGCCAGAGTGATGACATCAGCCTGCGTTCCAGCCCCTGGAATGCATAACTATGACCATATGGTGACTTGGGGGCAGTTAGGTCCCAACATAACTCTTCTTGTCCCCACATGTCACTGATTTGGAGCCAAGGTTTGTACTCCAAATGTACCACATCAGTTAAACACAGGTATCCTCAAATATCTGCTTGTCAAATGCTGGGGAGAATGAGAGGGAGAAAGCAACTACATTTCTATTTTAAAATACAAGGATTTTAAACTATATATGGTGCATGACAATGTCAATGTACTTAATGCCACTGAACTGTAAACATACTAATGGTTAAAATAGTAAATTTTATGTTATATATTTTACCACAATTAAAAAACAAAAATCCACATAGATGGGTTCTGAAAACTGTGCCCCATGTGTTTCAGAGGTTTTCCACAACTGTATAATAAATTTCCAGGTCCAATGTACAACTGGTTATAACTTTGTGACAGTGAACATGTCACTCTTTCTGCAACATCTGTTAAGCTAGGCTCCCAGGGGCCTGAATAAACATTCATTCTTCAGGAATTAGTAAACAGTACTTACCCATACAAATTTCTAGCTAAAATTAAACACAGACAAAAACCTCAAACATACCACGTAAGACAGTAGGTGTTAGACAAGGAGTATGTGGAAACATCACTTGCTCCCCTGCAGGGCACTGGTGTGAGGGGCTAGGAAGTGGAGAAATCCCTACCTCCTATTCCAGCATTGGCCGTGACCCAGCCCTGATTGATTGTCACAAGGACAAGAAAATGCTGGTCAGAGAGAGGTACTGGGCTGCCAGGTCCCACTGATTGCTGGATCAAGCGCTTCCTAGAGGTTAAAGCACCATTCCCAGGGGCGAGGCTGGCTGCTGCGGCAAGATGCATCTTTCACTCTCCTGCCTCCGGTCAAGAGTAAACCTAGAAGGCGCAGGCGGGGCGCTCAGTATCTGAGAAGCTGCAAGAGGGCTGTGCCTGTTGCAGCTAGGGTACTTGTGCGGATTGAAAATCCCCTTAACGTTGAGAGATCTTAGGAATAAAGAAAAAACCCACAATATCAGGCTACAGTTGTCATCACCATTCTGCTCCTAAGACACCAGGACAAACCTCTAACTCTGCACATGCACTGAAATGATACCTGGGTATCCTCTCTCCTCTACGATTAGAATGCGAGCAGCCCTGCGATCTCCATGTGTGCACAGCCAGTGCCTCATGCGAAGCCTAGCACTTGGAAGGTGCCCAACGAGTAAGTTGAGGAGCTCAACTCCGAAGCCACAGCCAAGACAGCACTGGAGGAGAGGGTTCCCCAACACTCTGCAGTTGCAAACACAAACCCGCAGGTGCTGCCACCTCCAGAAGTCTCCATTTCCCGCTCGCACGCTCACCCTGATCTCCCCACATCCCGGAACTACCTACCAGTAGTGGTGACCAGCAGACCGACAGCACGCACATGATCCCCATGAGCTGAATCGCTGTCTCGGTCGTGATCCTGCCCCACTGGGCACTGGACTGGGACGCTGTGGCCTTGGCCCGGCAGCGGGACACCAGGGCCTTAATGGTAGCCAGGTTGCAGGCAAAGGTGACGGCCAGCGCCAAGAGCCCCAGGAAGGAAAAGGTGGAGGCGAAGAAAAGGTTGCCCCAGTTGTGTGGAGAGCCAGTCCCATTGCCCCCTGGCCCGGTGCTGATGAAGCACCACGTCCCGGGCCACTGGATGGTGTACTGGCCCACGCCCAGTACCGGCAACAGGGCGAAGGCGAGCACCGCCAGCCACACGCCGAGCAGCACAGCGCGGGTGGCGCGCGTCTTCATGTGGCTCGCGTACCAGTGCGGCGCCCGGATGGCCAGCGCCCGCTCGACGGCCATGGCGCTGGCGATGAAGAGCGAGGACAGCCCGAAAACAGTCATGGTCAGACCGAAGAAAGTGCAGAGCCGCCCCGACGGGTCGAGCTGCTCCCACCGCTGCTTGGACAAGTACACGACGATGACCACCGGGCTGGTGAGCAGCTGCCCGACCAGGTCGGTGAGCGCCAGCCAGCCGATGCACAGCAGGAAGGACTTCTTGCGCTTGCTCTCCCGGCGCCGGTAGCTCCGCGACACGAGCAGCATGGCCAGCGCGTTGCCCACGAAGCCAGTGAGCAGCATGGTGATCGGAAAAGCCACGGACACCGACCCGCAATCCTCGCCCGGCACTGGAGGGCGCGTGAGGTTGCCCCCAGCCTCGGCGGACCGCTCGGACGCCCACATGCCCGGGTAGGAGTAGTTGAGGCGGATGCAGAAGGGGGCGCCCCCGCCGTCGCCCCGGGTGTCCTTCATGTTGGCTTCGAGGTGAGGAGGGGACGGCGCCCAGAGAGCCGCAATGGGAGCTGGCAGATGCGGCGCGGGCGGTGGCAGAGGTTGGTGACGACCCTGGCTGGGGCTGGGCAGCCTTCCATGGTGCGGGGCGCAGCCGCCGCCTCGCTCCGCTACTCGCGCCGCGGCCGCGGCGGCGCCAGTGCTCACAGGCGACGGAGCAGCCGCGCGGCCGGCTCCGGGAAGCCGCCGGCTCCTGTGCGCGCCGAGCGCCCGGGCCCCGCTATAAGGCCGAGGGGCGGGGCGCCCGTGGGTGTGGCAGAAGCGAGGTGGGAGGGGAGTGGAAAAGGAACTGAGCGCCTCTCTGGTTGTTGCCTGCCCGCTCCCAAGACCTTCTGGGCTGGGAAAACTCCCAGGCGGACTCCTCTCGAAACGCCCCTGCTCCTAGCCAGACGGGGCGCCCGCTCGCCTCCGTGCCCAGCTCTGCGCCTCGTCCAGTTTTCCGCCAGAGGAGTGTCCGTGGGCAGCGAGCAGCCAAAACGTCTCACTGGGCTTCCCGATCCAAAGCAAGCTGCCGACGAGGACCTGAGCACCCGCCCTCCTCTCCCATCCACACACGCTCACACAGGGACGGGATCCTTTTCCTGAAGCCCTTTCTAAATTCTGGCAAAGTGTAAATCACCTGCCCTTAAGCAATCTACGCAAGCCACGCTTCTCCGCATAGCTGAATGTAAACTTTTTGCCTTCCTACTCTGGGACTCTAGACCGATCATGAAAAGGCCAAGCTGTCCTATTCCTGGTCCGTCGCTGAAATTATAAAATTAATAGACAGTGTCTGGAGACATTAAGGGAATAGACACGGAAACAAAAAATTCGTATGGTAAAATTCAAAAACAAAGAAGTCCCAACTACCACCCCTCAGCTAATCCTGCCTCTTTCACCCAAAAGCCAGCTAGAGGCAGGTGGCAGCCACCGAATATCTGAGGTAGTGAAATCAACTGCTGCCGGCCTAGAGGAGTGAGTGGAGGCAGGGGAGAGACTCACTCCCTTACTAAGCCTCCAACCATTTGCATCCAATTACAACTCGAAACTGTATTTAGATGTTACAAAGGCCTTCATCCATATGGAAACTTTGCCTTTGAAATATACCCATCCAGCGAAAATAGGCATAATTGCGTAGTAACATCTTTTAGTAAGCAAATATTTTATGTATTTTCACCATATATGATGTATTTTCACAAGCATTTTCTCGTTTTCTCACAGAGATCCTCCAAGGTACTGTTGCTATTATTACTCCCCTTTTAAGGTGAGGTAACTGAGGCTCTATGAAGTTAAAGGATGTGCCCAAGTCTCTTAGCAATTCCCCAGTACTGTCTTCTTATTTGAAGTAGTATTCTTTACATGGATACCTAACTGCTCTCAGCAGATGAAAATTAACTGCGAGACCATTTTTTCCCCCTAATCTTGGGAGAGCCTGGTTTCTCTACCTCTTCACATTGTCCAGAAAATTGAAAGAATTTAAAAATTATTTACAAACTTCATTTTCCCTCATATTTACGAAATTAGACTTAATCATATAGCATTGTGAAGGCCATAATTCAGACTGACTTAGATTGATTTTCGGAACAAGCCTACTCAGTTTTTTGCATTTCCTAGTTTAGCTCATATTCTGTTTGGGTGTAAATGAGTGTTAAAAGACAATAATGGGATTACGTCCCTCTGCATGCTTTCTTTCTGTGCTGTTTTGATTTTGTATGAGAGCTTGAAAAAATAATGATTATTGGGTTATATAGTGTTTAAAGGAGGAAAAGCAATGATGCAATTTAAACTGCATTTTAATGGCATGCATTAATTACAACACTAATTTCATTTTCATTTGTGCTCTGCTGTCATTTAAAAAATTTTTTTTTTATTTACTAAAATGTCATGTTTACAATGAGAACAACTAGGAAGGAATAGTGACATGATATACTTTTAAAAACCTTCCCCAAATGTTTGTCTTATTGCTTTGAATTAATCTCAACCTCCTATTTGGTAAAGGGTTTTTCTAGAATAATGTCATTTGAAAAGTAAAATAATATTTGATGTTACTCTTAGATACAAGCTTTATCCAAAGCATTTGGATGAAAATGCATATCAAATGTTAACTTTTCTGCAATTAATAAAATTATAGTGTAATGATATATTTAAAATTTTAAGCCCATTTCATGATTCACACAGCAAACGAAGCAAAGCTAATCTCTCTCCAGTTACCTCAAAAATTATTCTCATTTTTATTTACAAATATTTTGCTTTTTTGAAACTTTTACTTTTCCCATTGCACTACTTGCTGTGTAGCCAAATGGACTTCATGAGCATGACAAGCATCAGGACACATATTGGCAAAGAATTAATGTTACCCTCTTTTACTAAGTCTACAGCAATGCACTAAATGTGTTGCATTTCAGATCATTTCTTTAACACTTCTTTCAGCATTTTTGCTTCATCTTATTCTAAGTTGTCTGCTTATTCACCCTGTAAATAGAGACTTAGAGGATCTGAGGAGTAACAATATGAAGCTGGCAGGCAGATCCTGGTTGGCAATTTTTAATTAGGTACTGCAGAAACAGTCTAACTTGTGTTGGTCTGAAACAATACTACCCTCTACTGACCTAAAGGAAAATAACATGCTGTATGGTACAGTATATTCAAGAGAATTTCTAAATGACCAATGTGTGCTTTGCTTAGAGAACCTTTAATCCTGGAGATCTACTCATCAATACATAATTGTGGTCACTTTGTTTTTGAGTTTACAAACTGGCATCTCTGTTTAATCAATAAATCATTAGAGAATTAAATTGAAACACCACATATTCAAATGTTTGAAAAAAATTCAAGTATATATTCATATATTTTAATTGAAATTATGCCCTAGAAATGTTTTTCATACAAAAACTATCTAATTGTATCCCTCCTGTACCTTACAATTTTAAATTTTCATCACCTATCAATATTTTCCTAGGGTTAATGAATTTATTTTGCTATTTACTTCTATTGGAATTTTTTAAAAATCTTTAAAATATATGAATACAAAACAAGATTAATAACTAGTTTCACATAATCAGGCCCTTAATTGCCTCATTATGGATGGAAGATACCTGCAATTCTTTCTCCAAGAAGCCAACCACTAATTTTAGTATATATTTTAGTCATTCATTCATTCAGTAAATATTTATTGAGCACCTAATCTATGTCTGACACTCTTATAGCCTTCAGGGATACAAAAGCAACACATAGCATTATCTACATTTATGTAGTTTATATTTTAGTGCAAAACTCTTGATTTTAAATGCCTAACAGAAGAACAATGATCCCAGTGGCTTTTGTCTTCTCAAAATGATTTGCTTTGGAGGTAGAATGCAAGGTAAATTTAGCATTCAAACATCAATCAATATAATTACCATAGCAACAAAATAAAAAAGATGCTTTGAATTCTTTGCTAAATCAAACATTTGAATATACTCAAGAGTCTCTTACTATAACTGCCTTTTCTTCCTGTTTCACATCTAATAACTTTTTATTGAAAACTGGACACTGGTGTTAATATATTGTAGTGAGTCTGGATTCCATTTTTTTCCCTGAGGATTACTGATATTTTTGTTTGTTTTGTTTGACAGTTAACTTGTCTGGACTCAAACTGCCAATATTGCCTCTCCTGTGGCATGCAGCTATTGATACCTCTGCTCCATTCTCACAGTTTTCCATGCCGGCTCGTTTAGCCTGGTCCCCTGTGAATTGGTTTCCTTTATGCCTGTGTGATTTGCAGGTCAGTTAGCAATAGATATCACCCTTTCCATGGTTTCCTTGATTCTAGTGATTCTCTGGTGGTCCAGCTGCTCCACCAGCTTAGGGCTATGCCCATGCATTTCAAGATGGTAAAGCTTCAGCTTTATGCCACTCGAGGTGCACACAGTGGGGAATCCACTCCCTTAAGAAAAGCATCAAAGTCATGGATGTGTTCTTGAATAATTTTATCTTTTACAACTATTTGGTCTTTGCCTGCTTTCCCCAGGCTCCTTGGGGTCTCCCTCACCCAGCATAGTTTAGCTGTGAGACACAAATTTGGGCAGTTCTCTCTCATTCTCCCGTGGTTCTCACTCCCAGGATCTCCTACTTAAATTTGTAGTAGCGTTTCGAGCCTTGAACTCCAATCTCCAGCACCTTTTGTCAGTAAGGTTGTGATTTTTTGTCAACCATTTCTCCCATTAAGGTTGGGCAGCACCCTCCATCCAAAAAACAGTAAGTCTTAATTCTTACTCCTTCCAGTTGCATTTTTGAGATTGATCTCTAATTTCTGTATGTTTTTGAATGCTTTCCAATGAATTAAATAGTTTAATAAAATTTAAATAGTTGTGTTTTTAAAATTCTAGCTACATTTTATTATCTGCAGGGCAGTGAGATATTGGCATACAGACAGTGCCAATGGTTTGAATGTGTCTCATCCAAAATTCAGGTATTGAAACTTAATGGCTAATGTGATGGTACTAAGAGGTGGGACCTTTTAAGGCCAAGAGGGCTCCTCCCTTGTGAATGGAATTAGTTCCCCCTATAAAAGGGCTTGACAAAGGGTGTTGGTCCCTTTCTTGCCCTTTTGCCTTCCTCCATGTGAAGACAGGGCAAGAAGACCTTGACCAGACGCCAGATGCTAGTGCCTTGATCTTGGACTTCCCAGCCTCCAGAATTATGACAAATAAATTTCTGTTGTTTATAAATTCCCCAGTATGTGGTAGTATGTTATAGAAGCACAAAATGGACTAAGACAGACATATAGATCAATGAAAGAGAATATTGGAGAGAGTATCGTGTGTGTGTGTGAGAGAGAGACAGAGAGAGAGAGAGAGGTATATACATGCACCCATACATTCAAATTCAATAAATTTTTGTCAAAGTGTTATGGTAAATCAATAGAGAACAGTCTTTTCAACAAATAGTGCTGGGAAAACCAGATATCTGTGTGGAAATAAAAATTAATATAAACCTTACCTTATACCACACACAAAATAGATCATAGACTTAAAGGTAACTGTTAAAACTATAAATCTTTTAGATTAAAACAGGAGAAAAATACTTGTGACCTCTTTACCCCTCCATCCTCACTGAAAGTAATCTTGCAATTTTATTTTTTTTGCATTGAACAACACATGATTATGTTTTTTGGTCAGTTTACACAGAAATTCGTCATTCTTCTTAAATACCAGGAATAATCCA